CCTGCCGGTGAGCCTTCCCCGATGTTTAACATACAATAACTAACTGGCTAAAATAATGTTAGTGAGCATGTTCAATAAGTAACCCGAGCAACTTCGGGCTTGGTATAGCGGCTGGTGGCTGAAGCATCGAACTCCTGGTGTCTCTCGCGATGAACAACAGCGCCGGGACAGACTCAGCAACAAGCTATATCATGACGGCGGCAAGATTGGAGAGGGTCAAGATGAAGACGACATCGTTTCTATCTCTACATTTTCGATCTCTACCAAGTGTTGGCTAGCAATCCGCCAGAACGTCACCATGGCTGCCGAGGAAGTCCCATTGCAGAATAGCGAGCTATTCGATGTCAGTGACTGCGTTGCAGTTGTTACTGGAGGTGGAACAGGGATAGGCCTGATGATGGCAAAGGCACTCGAGGCCAATGGAGCAAAGGTCTACATCCTGGGTCGACGGCTGGCAGTCCTCGAGGCCGCCGCAAAGCAAGCAGTAAGCCAGATATAGATATATATATGCACCCCCTAGGAGGAGTATGGAATCAAAACACTAACAAGGCAACCCAGACATACGGAAACATTTACCCCTTACAATGTGATATCACCTCCAAGGACGACCTCGAGACGGCAGTGGAACGCATTGCCAGCGAGGACGGCTTCGTCAACTTGGTGGTCAACAACGCTGGAATCTCAACACCGAACCTAGGCCCCCAGCGGACGCGACCAAATGCCAAATGGAGCATCACAGACCTGCGGAACTACTGGTTCAGCAAGCCGTCGTTCGAGGACTACGCCAGGGTTCTTGAAGCCAACACCACGGCGCCCCTGATGGTGACCTTTGCATTCCTCGAGCTGCTGGACCGGGGCAACCGTGTGCGCGCAGAGCAGGCAAAGGCAAACGGCGGCCGGTCAGACTACGTGCGCAGCCAGGTCATCATGGTCAGCAGCGTTGGTGGCTTTGGTCGCGATAACTCGGCCTTCATCTACGGCGCCAGCAAGGCCGGGACAACGCAGATGACCAAGAATCTGTCGACATATCTTACGCCATGGAAGATCCGAGCGAATGTCCTGGCACCAGGATGTAAGGCCCCCTTAATTACTGCAAGATATAACCATACCAGAAAGATAGGAAGCTAACGGTGGTGCCATAGATTTCCACACGGAGATGACCCAAGACTTCTACAAGAGTACGGGGGGTCGGTTACCGGCTACCATGACCCCTGAAGAGCGCTTTGGAGACATGCAGGAGATCAGTGGGACCCTCTTGTACATGGCCTCGAAGGCTGGTGCCTACTGTAACGGCTCAGTGATGTTGTCTGATGGAGGCTACCTTGCTATCCATCCCAGCGCTTATTGATCGATGTTATATTTGGGTCTTACTGTGAAAGCACTTTTTTTTCTTATTTAACAAAAATATTGGTTATCCATGTTTATAAAATAGTTATATATAAGGCTATGGCGAAGGATCATATTCGGGTTAAAGCCCCAGACAATAATCCCGATCGATATTGATAGAGTTATTATCAAAAGGCTGAGCTAAAGAAGCTAGCCACCAATTGAAGACAGAATTACTCTATTGACTTAAATAATTCGAGAGCAGGGGGTTTACATTGGGAGCTGGATCGAGATGTCAAGGGCAGAGATGATGCCAGCTAATATATACACAAAGTATAAGGAAAAAGTGAAAAGAAATCTTGACCATAATTAGCTACCTATCTCACACTCGCGTCGAATAAACTTAGTCAGGAAGAGTTTGCTTCAGCCTCACACTACGGGTACCAATTCTTAGCCCGAAGCTCCTTGTTCATCTTGATTATGTTCTCCCGAGCACCGGCCCATGGCTTACGCTTGCCCGCATTGAACAGTCGGTAGTGGAAAGGCAGCAAAAGCCCATCCATAACCATACCGCATAGTTCCCGGTCCATGAGCCAGAAAGTCCAGCCCTGCCAGCCATATCCCAAATTCGCTCCCATACCGAGACCGGCCGTTTCATCAACCCATTCCAGCCAGTCAACTCCTTTAGTTAGGCCCGGCGTCACTCGCGAGTTGTTAGAGAGATTGGCAATCCACTTGAATTGCTCGTCCACCTGGCGGTTCATTTCTGCCTTGGATGGAAGTCGAGAAGTCCCCTTCCAGAGCTGTGCAACTGCCATGCTCGCAAGGTCGAACATCAGGAATGCCGGGTTCATGAATGACAAGTTGCCCATGAAAGCAAGTGACTCGGGGTGCTGCAGGGAGATGACATTCTGGTAAAGACGAGGCATCTTCCGGCCATTCGACATCTCACAGGCGTCCTTCTGGTCATAGATGGTTGGATCACTCTTCCCGAGCATTGAATAGTCAACGGTGTATCCAGTACACCAGACGATGGAGTCCACCTCAATTACAGTGCCATCGGTCATTTCGATGGTTGTGCCGTCACAGACGTGACGGATAGCCGGAAGGGAAATAACCCGGCCACTGGATAGGTTGTCAATCAGATTGTCGCTGATAATTGGTCGTTGCTGGCTGAAAGACGGAGCAGGATCCAGCTGCCATTCCGGCTTAAGGTCGTATAGCCGATTGCGAAGTCCGACAATAACGCTATCCATCACCTTTTTCCACAGGCCTGGGGTGTAGCGGGACATCTTACCCAAAATCCATCCTTTGCGATAGGTGCGTACATGGTCGACCGGCTTACCGTCAACCCATCGTGGCAACTGGAACATGGTTAGCTGTAACGGAAAGCAGTGGGATATAGTGCCGGCTCAAGACTTACCACTATGGCACCGTGACGGTGCGATACATACACTTGTTCCGCTACATCCGCCAGAAGGCCCGTGACATCAGCTGCAGTGTTTCCAAAGCCAACAACCAGCACCCGCTTGCCTGCATAGTCATCAGCACTTTTATAGTTAGCTTGGATACTTATTGCAGGCATCAAGCCATCCATAAATTACCGAATGAGAAAAAAAACAGCCCAACTTACCTCTTGAAAGTGACAGAATGTTGCACGTCTCCTTTGAATTTCTCGATTCCCGCTACCTTCGGGATATTGGGTACTTGATCGGGGCCCAACGCATGGATTACTTTGTCAAATTCTTGCACAGTCTTCTGGTCTTCGTTTCCAACTGGAGATATTTCAATTTCCCACTTGTGTTTCATCTCATTCCAGCTTGCACGGTGGATGTTTGTGCTAAGGCGCACATGTGGCATGACCTGGAAATGCTCGGCATACGAGGCAAGGTATTTCGCCATATGGCTTGCTGTCGGGAAATCTGGCGTATCTACACCCAGTTAAAACCATACAATTCCGCAATGCATAAGCTCTTGCGCAAACTCACCATCAGGAAAGGGAAAATCGGTGAATGATCCCTAGTATAAAAGGTCTGTTTAGTCCAGCTCTTCTATATCGGCAACAGCTTGTATAGAGCTATCTTACACGATGTTTGGATCCGTTTGTTACCGTGGCTAGAAAACGAATTGAGCTCTGGTCAGTTGAATGAGTCCACATAGCACATATAAAGAGAGTAAAAGCTGACTTGGTAACACAGAGATGTTCTTATTCTCCTCATTGTAATGCCATAGACCGCCAACGTATGAATTCCGATCGAATCCGGTCACATTGAACCCTTCCTCAAGCAGGTTCTTCATCGACACAAGGCCAAGGGCCCCTATATTGGTGCCAAGTCAGCTATCTGCATATCATTATCGATAACCTATTCAGCGGAGAGGCAGCAAGCTACCAGTATAGAATCTTTACATACCAAGACCAAGAACCGCAACTGTTGGCGCTTTTTCAGACATTTTGGAAGCCCAAATGATCAAAGGAGAAGAAACAGCTTTGCCAATAGTATGTAAATGGGTATCATCAAATGTTGACCGTTATTCTTGGGTATGTCTGGGCAGCCCTATCGTATAAAGGGTGGAAAGGCACACGGCAAAAGAAACATTAAAGCAAAATAAATCTCCGTAGTAGAAAGCCTGCTTCATTAACATTGTATATTCCAAATTACCCGGGGCCTCCGAAAGGGGGCTGAGATGTCGTAGGATTCGGGGTACAGTCGGGACTCAACCGGGTTAAGTTGAGCTGATATGGAAGAGGATCCAGGTTCGGCCCAGTGGACTCTTACTCGGATATGGGAGCCCACATTTAGAGAACCTTGTACCTCATGGCTATCCACAATGTATAGTAGTACCACTATTCTCCCCTTGTTTCAGTACAGATATTGGACCCTGGTTGAGATCCGAATTCCGACACATGGTCCCGGGAATGATCGGGGGTCGCGCGGGAGTCCTGCAAGATCTCTTTCGGGTCTTGTTATTGGCTCGGGAAATGTATGGAGACATCGTTGGTATGCAAAGCTGAAGTGGATTGGTAGGCTTGAGCTGGACGCTGGCGGACGAGTCGAGGACCAAGCGGCTGCCACCACTCACATGGGAATGGAGTCTCCAAAAAAGGGCACGTGGGAACGTGGTGTGTAAATATAGCCAATTTAGACATCTCACAAGGGTCTTGCTTGAGGCTTTAAAAACTGTTGGAAATCCCCCTAGGACATATCAGAGCAGAGTTCAACTGCGCAGTTCCATACACTTCTACTGGAGCTCCAGTTCTCCTTTGCCATTTTCAACTTCCCATGCAGTTCAGCACTTAGGCAATAGTAATTGCTTCAACATATAACTCAAGTGCCTCTGCTGACCATGGTGAATCAACTGCACCTCTATCTCTTCGGAGATTTGACATATGACATTTCCACAAAGCTGCAACCACTCCTTCACTCTGATTCATATCCCCTTCTTCGTTCGTTTTTTGATTGCGTTTGCGATAAACTCAGAGCTGAGATTGGTCAATTGCCGGCCCAGGACAAAGAAGTTTTCCCTCGTTTTTCTAGCATTGCTGAGCTATTGACATGGCGTAGCGGCCACAGCAGGTCAAATCCTGCTGTTGAGAATGCATTGACGTGCATCTATCAACTGGGTGAGTTTATTCAGTAAGTCCCTGGAGTTGGGAGCATCTGCATAATCAAGCAATGAATGTCCTGAAGGATGAATCCATGCTAATGAATATGCCCCTTTTCTACTGCAGCCAACATGAGGGTCTCGGACAGGAATACTTCTCTCCCCAAGAAACCTGCGTATCAGGTATCTGTACCGGTGCTCTTTCTGCCGCAGCTGTTAGCTGTTGTAGGACTGCATCTGAACTGGTCCCTATTGCTGTACAAACGGTACTGGTCGCTTTTCGACTGGGGATGTGCACATTACGTGCTGCCAAGGCAATTGACCCGTCGGAAGGAAACTGGTCGATGGTTGTATCTTGTGATTCAACTGACAAAGTTGAAGAGCTTCTTTGCAAATTCTCTGAGTCTAATGTAAGAATGATGCCTGCACTGCTATCGGGATAACAATGGCTAACAAATTCCACAGAATCTTCCCATCACATCAATGCCATGGATTAGTGCATATGGGGAGGATAACTGGGTGTCGATCAGTGCACCTGCATCCATTTTGCTAGCACTTCGCTCCTCTGAGATACTGTCAGGAATGCGCTCGCGTGTACTTGACATCCACTCCCCTTATCATGCAAAGCATATATTTTCAAATAGCGACATCGATGCAATCCTCGAGACAACCGATTCTCAGGAGTGGGAGCGATATAGAGCCGTTCGACCTATGGTTTCGAGCACCACTGGAGAAGTAATTGAGCCCGAAGGACTCCGACCCCGCTTGGAGGCAGCACTCATTCAAATTTTGATTGAGCCGATCAGATGGACAGAGCTCACTCAGGGGCTGGCTGCATTCATGTCCTCAATCAACGCAACGAGGTTCCACGTTATTTCTATTGGCACCAATGCAGAGGCCACATTAACTGCATCACTGAGCTCCAAGATGCAACTTGATGATTCTCAAGTCCCCGGTAATGGCGAGAGTGTGAAGCCAGACCAAAACGGTGGCGAGGCCCGTGGAAATATGGTTCGTGGTCGATCCAAGATCGCTATCGTTGGCCTCTCAGGCAGATATCCAAGTGCAGAGAATAACGAGGAATTCTGGGATCTCATCTTCCGTGGACTAGACGTGCACAAAACTGTGCCAGATCTCCACTGGAGTGCTAAGACACATGTTGACCCTACCGGCAAGAAAAAGAATACCAGTGCTACCCCGTACGGCTGCTGGTTGGAACATCCTGAGGCATTTGATGGACTCTTTTTCAACATGTCACCCCGCGAGGCACCCCAAGTCGACCCTGCTCAGCGTATCGCCTTGATGACCGCCTATGAAGCAATGGAACAAGCCGGAATTGTCCCTGGCGCTACCCCATCCACCCGCCACGACCGGGTGGGCGTCTTCTATGGAGTCACAAGCAATGACTGGATGGAAACTAACAGTGCCCAAAACATCGACACGTACTTCATTCCCGGTGGTAACAGAGCGTTCATCCCAGGCAGGATCAATTATTTCTTCAAATTCAGCGGTCCCAGCTACAGTGTTGACACCGCATGCTCTTCTAGTTTGGCATCTCTCCATATCGCTTGCAATTCTCTGTGGCAGCGTGATATTGATACTGCCATTGCGGGTGGAACAAACATCCTTACCAACCCTGACTTTACTGCTGGTCTGGATCGTGGGCACTTCCTCTCACGCACTGGTAACTGTAAGACATTTGATGACGATGCCGATGGGTATTGCCGTGGAGAAGGTGTTGGCACCGTTATCCTGAAGCGTTTGGAGGATGCCATTGCTGACAAGGATCCTATCCACGGTCTCATCTTGGGAACTTACACAAACCATTCGGCAGAGGCAGAGTCAATCACCCGCCCGCATGTCGGAGCCCAGAGGGATATCATGAGAAATATTCTCAGCAACAGTGGAGTTGATCCATACAGTGTGAGTTACGTTGAACTGCATGGAACAGGTACTCAGGCAGGCGATGCTAGAGAAATGACCTCTGTCCTGGACACTTTCGCGCCTGCAGACGCCCGTCGATATCGTCAGCCCGAAGAGTCCTTATATCTAGGCTCAGTTAAATCCAACATCGGTCACGGAGAGGCTGCTGCTGGAGTCAGTGCTCTGATCAAGGTTCTCTTGATGTTGAGAAACAATACCATCCCTCCGCACTGTGGTATCAAAAACAAAATCAACTCCAGCTTCCCAACAGACCTTGATGCCAGGAACGTATACATTGCAAAGAAGGCCGTCCCCTGGCCGTCAAAAGAGGGACAGCCACGCAGGGTATTTATAAACAACTTCAGCGCTGCAGGAGGAAACTCTGCCCTAGTCCTCGAAGAAAAACCTGTGGAGGCTGAGATTCTGGGAACAGATCCTAGAGCTGCCCATGTGGTAACGGTGTCAGCCAAATCAGCAATTTCTTTGAATCGAAATATCCAGTCACTCGCAGATTATATTGAGAAGCATCAAGACGAGACTCTTTTCCTTCCCCAGCTGTCCTATACCACGACCGCACGTCGAATTCACCATCAACATCGAGTTGCTGTTACCGGTGCATCTGCTGCCGATATCAAGGCAGCTCTTAAAACAGCGGCTGCAAATGGTGATGGCAAGGTTAGAGCAAGAGTTGCACCCAAGGTCACATTCACATATACTGGACAGGGTGCTCAGTATGTTGGTATGGCTAAGCAGCTATACACATTATTTGATCAATTTAAGAGAGACATCAACCGATTTGATAGCCTTGCCCAGAAGCTAGGATTCCCCAGCTTCCTTTCTGTGATTGAGGATGAGTCTAGCCAGCAACAGCACGATATCTCTCCAGTCACCTTACAACTCTCCAGTGTCTGTATGCAAATGGCTTTATCTCGGCTGCTTATTTCCTGGAAATATCATTCCGGACAATGTCATAGGTCACAGCCTTGGCGAATATGCTGCTCTCAATACCGCTGGTGTTCTGTCCGACACAGACACCATTTTCCTCGTGGGAAGACGTGCGCAGTTGTTAGAGCAGCATTGTATACTTGGAACACACAGCATGCTTGTGGTTAAGGCTTCTTTAGCTGCCGTCCAGAGAGCACTCGATGGCACGGAATTTGAGGTTGCATGTATCAATGCACCAGAGGAGACTGTCCTTGCCGGGCCCAACAAACAAATTGAAGCCCTCAAGGAGTCCTTGAACAACAATGGCCTCAAGACAAAGATCATTTCGGTGCCTTTTGCATACCATTCTTCCCAGGTAGATTCCATATTGAACCATTTCGAGACACTGGCTACAGGCGTTAGGTTCCGCAAGCCAGCGATTCCGGTTATATCTCCATTGCTCGCCGAGGTCATCGTGGACGAGGGTATCATTTGCCCTAGGTATCTAAGGAGACATTGCCGTGAGACCGTCAGTTTCCTCGGAGCTCTTCAGCATGTCAAAGAGACTGGAGTCGTGAAAGATAAGTCCTTTTTCGTCGAGGTAGGCCCTCACCCTATCGTGACTGGTATGGTTAAGGCACTCTTTGGGACCTCTGTCACTTCTATGGCTACGCTTCAGCGTAGCCGTGATGACCTGAAGGTTGTAACCGAGTTGCTTGTTTCCCTTTATTCGGCCGGCACTGACCTTCGCTGGAACGAGTACCACCGCGACTTTGAGGCTTCTCACAAGGTCCTGGAACTCCCTGCATACAACTGGGACTTGGGGAACTACTGGATGCAGTACGTGAATGACTGGTCTTTGCGAAAGGGTGACCCCCCATTGATCGTTGGCCCTTCGTCCTTGACCTCAACTACCATCCACAAAGTAGTGGACGACAGTATTGACAAAATTGTTGTCGAGTCGGATATGGCACGCGAAGATTTTAATCCCTTGGTACAGGGCCACGAGGTCGATGGCGTGCCTCTATGCACACCAGTAAGTGCCGGCGTGAATCGATAGTTTCCAAGCGATAATTTTGATGCTGACCGTACTTCTAGTCTGTCTATGCGAATATAGCCCTTTCCATCGGCAAGTATCTTCTGGAGAGATACCATCCAGAAATCGAAACGAACCTGGTCGACGTGGCCAACATGACTGTCTTGAAGGCATTGATTGCTCGGGCTCAGGGGCCCCAGCCACTTCGTACCATAGCAACTGTCGATTGGTCTGCTAAGAAAGCTGGCGTTTCCTTCCGCTCTTACGATGTAAGTCTTCCCTACCATGGTGTTGGAATGCCAGAGTCCCGTGCTAACATTGACCCAACCCACTGTAGAAATCTGGAGAGCCAACGGTGGAACATGCGACCTGCGAGATACACTTCACTGATCGGTCTCGGCTCAAGCTGCTAGAGGGCTCTACTGCAACTATCAAGGCTCGAATGGGCGCTATGCGCGAGACACTTGGAAGCGGTGAAACCCAAAGATTCAATCGAGCAATGGTTTATAAGATGATCAGTCCTTTGGCACAATTCCACCGAGACTATCAGCCACTCGATGAAGTTATCATCGATAGCAACAGCCTGGAAGTCTCCAGTCAGGTCAACTTCAAAGGTGTCCAGGCTGCTGGTAACTTCTTTGCCCATCCAGCTTATATTGACGGCCTCACACAGGCAGGAGGGTTTGTCATGAACTGCAATGACAGTAATGATTTGGCAGTGGAGGTGTTCGTTAACCATGGCTGGGAGTCTCTACAGCTGTATGAGCCTCTTCAGAAGGAGAAGAAGTATAAGACTTTCTGTCATATGTCTCCAGGAGACAACAGAAAGTTCCATGGTGATGTGGTGGTCTTTGAAAGTGAGAAAATTGTAGCCAGTTACAAGGGCATTGTTGTAAGTTGCTCCCATCAGAACTGAACTTGCGAGGCCAAGTAACTGACAACTGGCAAACAGTTCCAAGGCGTTCCTCGTCGAGTGTTGCGTTTCTTCTTGAAGCCTGAAGCGCCGGCCGCTCCCCGTGGACAAGCAAATCAAAAGACCACAGCACGACCAGCTCCTGTTGCACCAGTTGCAACGGCCATGCCAACTTCTACCTCCAAGCCAATTGCTAAGCCCGCCATGGCTCCAACAACAGCCAGCGCCAAGTCACCAAAGGTCAAGCAGGCATTCCAAATTATCTCTGAAGAAGCTGGCGTGCCTGTTGAAGACCTCACGGACGATTGTGTCTTCACAGACATGGGAATTGATTCGCTGTTGGCTCTAGTGATCACAAGCCGATTCCGGGAAGAGCTCGAGTTGGACGGGGAACTGGATGATATATTCCTCACGTATACCTCCGGGAAAGCGCTTAGAAGCTACCTTGCAAACCAGTCAGGTTCGGATATCCCAGTAGTGGTGGAACCAACACCATTACCGGTCATTGCGCTAAATGTTGAGCCCGCCGTCACTTCTCGAATCTCCATGGGTGCCGATTGTGCTGCTGCCCTTGCTATAGTGTCTGAAGAGAGTGGAATTGCGATTGCAGAGCTCGCTGATGAGTGTATCCTTGCAGAAATTGGTATCGATTCACTTCTGGCGCTTGTGATCGTCAGTCGTTTCAAGGAGGAATTGGACGTCGATATTGACAGTCAATCTGTGTTCACAGATTCCTTCACGATCCGAGACCTGAAGGCATTCTTTGGAAAGGGGGAATCAACTATTACTACCCGCGCACCGTCCATTCTGATGGAAAGCTCTGATGAAAACACCATGTCATCCATGACACCACCAGACTCAAGTTCCGACTACGACACGTCCGAGAAGCCAGAACACATTGCTGTACCGCCTGCCACATCTGTTCTATTGCAGGGTATTGCAAGACACGCAGAGAAGATCCTCTTCCTCTTCCCTGACGGCTCAGGATCTGCAACTTCATATTCAGCAATCCCACGGCTGAGTCCCCGCGTAGCTGTCATCGGGCTTAACTCTCCCTATAACAAGATCCCAGAGCTTTTCAGATGCACTCTCGACGACCTGATTGATAGTTACATAGATGAGGTCCGCCGTCGCCAACCAACAGGGCCATATTATTTCGGAGGCTGGTCCGCCGGAGGTATTTTGGCCTACCGCGCCGCTCAAAAGCTGATTGAAGCTGGTGAAAAAGTTCCCGATCTTATTCTAATCGATTCCCCGGTCCCAAGGGGGTTGGACAAGCTGCCACAGCATTTCTATGATCACTGCAGCAAGTATCAGGTATTCGGACACCGTGCTGGACCAACCAAGGGCCATGCGAAGGCACCGGCATGGCTTATTCCACACTTCAATGCAACAATTGACACCCTACATGATTACCATGCGTCCCCTCTTCCGGCTGGTAAAACGCCACGAACGACTATCATATGGGCGTGTGAGAGTGTAATTGATGGTGTTAATGTGCCCAAACTTCAGTCCCATCCCGACGATACACCAGGCATGAAGTTTTTGTCTGAACAACGCACCGACTTTTCAGCAGCTGGGTGGGAGGCCGTCTTTCCAGGAGGAGAGATTATCTTGGAGCGTATTGAGCGCGCCAACCACTTCTCTATGATGGTGAGTACAACAACCTGAGCACATTTAAAGAGCCAGTCCTGGTCAGTAACTAACCACACAATCGTATTAGAAAGGAGAGCATGCATCTAAGCTAGCTGCAATCATTAAAGCTGCACTAGCATAAGCGAATGAAGTGAAATAGCTGTGGCCGGAGTGTACATACGTGACCAGTAGCTAGAGGCGTTTGAGATTTGTGATTTTTGGATAGTAACCGCGCATAATAATTTTGTTGTTTAAACCTATTCTGTAGAATAAATGAAAGATCCGTAGTTCTTCCGCATAAGGGCAAGCCCACCTTGTATCGGTCAAACTGAGTAAATATGAGTAAACATTCTTTGAACTAGCTACCCGTAAGCAGAGTCGGCTAGTTCAACGCCAATCTTATGCAGGGGATGGGGGACAAGAAAAGAAAATCTGTTACTAGCTTAGATACTCTCCAGAGTGACGGAATCAGAAGTTTGAGGCAGCTTATGGAGAAAGTAGAAGGTCAGGTGTATCAGATGAAGAGGTACTCTACAGCGTTAAAGCAGGTTGCGCCAGCGATGGAGTCAGCTTGACTGGCCAGGACTCGCGCGCAGGAGGCCCGATGGAGATTGCGGTGGTGAGGACGATGGCGAGCGTGACTCAAGCCGCTCTCGCTGCGCCCATTCTCGAACGATGACTCCATAGTCGGCAGTGATGGCGCGGATAAATTCTGCTCGTCCAGCTGACGCGATGATTTCTGCGAGTCGCTCAAGGTCTGCTAGCCATAAACCGGCCCGGGACGCGGAGGGATGCCCATTTGGCTGTCTCTCATCGAGTCAACTTTGCAAGGTAACTAGTTAACAGTTGCAGCCGTCTCTCTGACCTAAACTCAGCATTCACGCCGCCTTGGGTCGCCATGGTCGCGTTCAATCATAGTATTAACCCAACGAACAACTGCAGAGTAGAAGTGACAAGGGCCTGATCTCAGTAGAAGGGGTCACAACAGACACAAGAGTTTGTACGAGGACAAGTGTTAGAGGCTTGTAGAGGACCAGGAGGAGCGCGTTGAAGTGTAAATAAACTATGGTGCCTAACTACAAGTGGTTAGTTAGCGGAAGTGTGGGCCATCCCGCTTAGAGATAGAGGTTGGGTAGTTGTGGATAAAGGATAGAGGTAAAAGGCCAGAGAACAGGTGAGATTCCGCACTCGATCTACGTACCCAAATGCCGCCGTATCCAGCTGCCTAGCTGTGTATCCTAAGCACAATCTTCTACTTCTGCTATATTATCTCGTTATACTAGGGTAGGGTTAGGGTTAAGGGCAAGGGGTTAGATGTATAAGAATCCTATATAAGAGTAAGAAGGTAAAATAAAAAGGAGATAGGTATAAGAGGTAAGTAAATAGAATGAGGTAAGGTGTGGCCTCGGAGTACATAGATACACTGGAGAACCTTACGCTAAGAAGAATACATACTTTACTCTGTGTACCTAGTTAGGCGAGTGGATACGGTGGCATTTAGGTAAGTGGTTATTTCAGCAATTAGGCAGTTCCACAGTAATAATACACTAACAAAAGGCAGTACATTGCAATCATCCTAATTGGAAGCTCCAAGTTCCTGCACAGGCATCTGGCTAAGCTCATCGTTGTCATCTTGCCCAGATTGAGACTCATTCTCAGCAACTGGGGTTGCACATTGGGGCGTCTGGCAACGCCGACTGTTATCCAGCCAGTTATACTTCTTCATACGCATACGGTTCAAGGCAGAAACATCAGGCTTTGCGGCTACTGGTCCTTCGGCAGTAAGGTCGATCCTTGCAGGTTCTGAGGGCACTGTTGTAGGTTTGGATGCTCCTTGATGAGAAGCAAGGCTTGCTGCCGTAGCCTTGGAGGCTACAGCTATTGCGGCATGATACTGCGTGAGGAGGTTGAGGTGGGCAGCTTCAAGGTTCCGAAACTTGTTGCGCCAGAGTTCCGCCTCAGCTGTGGCTTCTTCGATTGCCTTGTTTTTGAAAGTTATTGACCGTTTCAGGAGGGTACATTCTTCTCTCATCTGCTGTGCCTTTGACTTTCCTGTAACAGGGTCAATGCCGCCCCACTGCGCAGAAAACCATGCAATTTTATCCCGTTCATATCTCATCCTATGCGCTACCCTGCGGTATTGGTTGACTCTGTGGTTAACTGTGCTGTCCGCTACTTCAACACACTTGACGTGAGCGACCGGAGTCGACGGTAGATAGCCTAGAGGTCCGCCCATGCGAGGATAGGGAGAAATATATTTCTCTGCATTGTTGGGCGTAGTGAAAACCTGTCTGTACATGGAATTCAGTAGATCTTGGCTCCCGATATTGTTGTATTTTTTTATAATTTCTGACACTGGTTTTCGTACCCACGGCTTGAGAAAGACTGGCTCGGCAGCTGGGGGGGATTCCGGGGGTGATAGGATCGAGGAAGAGACAGTGTGACATGGCCTTCCAGGAAGAGACAACGGTTGATGGATCGGAACTCGCGGCGGAACGGGGTCACTAGGAACTTCAACATCGTCGAACAAAGAGTCAACTGATGATTCACGTTCTCCTCGAGAATTATCATCAGGAATATATTGCGTCGACGGCGAAGGCAGGGTATGTTCCACGGTTATAGCTTGCGGTACATCCTCCTGCTCATATGAGCGGCCCGTATGTGGAAGTAAAGCAAGATGCGGCCCTCTGCGAGAGGAAGCTATTGAGCTGTCGCTAGGGTGACAGGAAGTAGTATCGCGGGTCGGCGAAGGACTTTCAATCTGAAGGGGTCCAGGAATATTGGGGGATACTTTGCACAGTCTTTTAGAAGTTTCACAGATGTCATCGGTACCGATATTCGTAGCATCGTCTATGCAATCGAAAGACCTTTTGAGCATACGCTTACCATCATCCAGTCCCGCCGTTAAGGCGCCCGTATGCTCGTCGGCTGCTGGTTGGGCACTATGAGTTTCAGTGTTTTCCGCCGCTGGGTTTGCGTTGTCGTTCAGCGTAGTGTCATGTTGTAGTAGGATATCGTCAATGTCATCATTGCCTCCGTTTGAGGCTGTGAGTCTGTCCAAGGCATCCTGAAAATCACTTCCATTACCGAAAATGCCCAGATCAGAGAGAGAATCAAGCCCCTCAGTAACGTCTGGTTCACCCGGAAAATCCCACAAGTGCTGCGGCTGTGGTTCAAGTAAATGTGTAAGCTCTTGGCCTTGATTCATAGCTGGCTGAGAGTTGGGAGAGTTCTCTGTCCGCAGCTCATGAGGGCTTTGGACAGGAGGAAAACAGCAAGGCAGTGTCTGTAAAGAAGCATAAATACCTTCTGATGACGAGGATTGCATGGTGTTCATAACACAGTGCAATCCTGCTGGGGCTTTTGATGCTATTCAATCCATCGACAAGGACTAATAGATCAGTCAAAGGAGCAACAAACAACCCCTCTCCAAGCTAGTAGCCGTAACTTAACAAGTCTGTAAGGGAAGCAGGATTCGAGACCAGTCCAAGCGGTCACTATTAATAGCCCCTGCCGTCCACTTGTTATATTGCTCGACCTAGCTGGCTGGTGTTGTTGAAGTTGTTGATGTTGATGTAGTTGAAGTCCAAGTTGAGTTCTGTTCATTTTTTGTCCAGCAGGTAGTCACATGACCAATGACTCTTGTAATTATGTAATACGTCGGATTAACTCAAACCTTATTTATTGGCATCGAGGGCATATTTACTCCAATAACTCTCCATATGCGAATGAAATAGCTGTTTTTTAAACAATAGGGAGTTATAGAAGCTCTATCCACGGGATATTTGTCTTGAGAATGTTAAATATTCGCTATAGACATAAATAATATGATGGATGTTGGGTTGCCCGGGCGGCTTCCATGAAATTGAACGGTAAAATATTTCTCCGATCACTCCTGGGCGGCTGTCACCCACGCTTGGGCCACCTGCAGTATATCGAGATTCTTCCATGAGGAACCAAGAAGAAATATAGAAAGCTCTTGATGAACAGAGACCTGTGAAGAAGGGAGAAAGCACAAAAAGGAAGGCTTTCCAAGCAAGAACTGAGCTGTGATGAGCTTACTCTAGCTAAGAAAAAACAACTAAAGCTCTACGTCGCGCGCCGCAGCCATGAGTGTGATTCTTTGTACAGGTATGTCACCTTCCCGCATTTTGATAACATCCATCAATGCAGCTAACTGGCTGTCCATGCTGGGTTTAGCGGGATATGACCATATTATTCGGTATGTCCAGCAGGTATAGAAATATTTCAAACTTGAGACTGCGTAACTGACTTGATTCTAGATTCTGGGAGGCCCTATCAGGCATATGTTCCCGCACCATCCAGCACCCAGAGTCCCAGGTCAACCGGCTATGCATCACTCCAGATAAGCGTTTTGTGGCCGCTGCAGGCAGGCATCGAGTGTACCTTTACGATATCCGATCTACAAACCCAAATCCAGTCATGAAGTTCGACGGACATACGAATAATATCACCGGCGTCGCGTTCCACTGTGAAGGAAAGTGGATGGTGACCAGCTCCGAGGACTGCACGGTGAAGGTGTGGGACGTTAGGTCTGGGACACTACAGAGAAATTATACTCACAAAGCCCCTGTGAATGATGTGGTTATTCATCCCAACCAAGGTGAATTGATTAGCGGAGATGGCTCTGGCTTTATCCGAGTCTGGGATCTGGGTGAAAGCAGATGTACCCACCAACTGATACCCGAGGAAGATGTGTCCGTGGCTAGTGTTAGCGTTGCCAGTGATGGATCTTTACTGTGTGCTGGAAATAACAAGGTATGGTTTTTCTCCCTCTGGTAGATTTGTATGATCCTTGCTTACCAGATAACATTGTAACAGGGAAACGTATACCTCTGGCGAATGTTGCAGAACCAAGATGAAACAAGCATTGTCCCCGTTGCGACCTTCCAAGCGCATAAGGACTATCTGACTAGAGTGCTACTCTCGCCAGACGTCAAGCATTTGGCAACCTGCTCAGCAGATCATACAGCCAAGGTCTGGTCTTTGGATCCAGAATATGGGCCAGCAAAAATGGCCGCTGCCGCCAGGGAGAAGGCAGCCAAGGAAGCCGCCCAAAAGACTCCTGGACCTGCTTCTGCGGCTACTTCTGTTACTGCTTCTCCAAACGGACAAAAAGGTGAAGCCATAAAGACACCACCCAAGACCCGAACAGAATGGAATGGAAAGGGATCTCCAGCCAGCGGTTCAATCATCGCATCTGGCGGGAGTACAGAAATATCTGCCTCAGAACTTACCCAGAACGATAGCTTTGTTTCGGATCAGCCATTTTCTTCTTTTCTTGATGGACCACCTATGGACCATACCACAAATACGCTTTTCCTGGAAACTACACTAGCCAGTCATCAAAGGTGGGTATGGGACTGTGCCTTCTCGGCTGACTCTGCATACCTGGTTACAGTGTCTAGTGATCACTGTGCACGTCTATGGGAACTTTCGTCCGGGCAAATCATCCGACAATATCAAGGTCATCATCGTGGTGCGGTCTGTGTTGCCCTGAATGATTACTCCGAGCCGCGGTAAACGGTATTTTCTTCGATTGATGCTAGGTTATATACCTTTTTGATGCCTATCTGCCTCTCTTTCTTTGAGTAATCATGTTCTAGCCTGGCGTTGAATGTATGGTGGCGTTGTTATCGGTATTTTGTTGGTGTATGGAGGAATTGATTGTATGTATGATTGATCTGACACATCGGAAATGAAATCGGTTCAATATATAGTACTATCTTGCGGCAGTAGGCATTCAGAAGCAGCGATTACATCTTAAAGGTCTACGTAATAGTAATAATGACCATTATCCTATGTAATCATTTATGCTCCCAAAAAAAATTCACCACATTTCCATCCAGGAGAATTCAAATTTTATACCATTCCAAGGCTTGAAACAAGAACACAGCACGTTTCCCCCATAAGATTCATCTCAGAGAGCCAAACCAGACAATGTTCAACACTAGGTCCATCCCCTTCTCCTCGGCCACAGGATGTTTATACGTCCACATGCCGTCATGCTTGGTATCCCAGTATGCGCCTGATGCACAGTGCATGCCTCGTCGTCCTCGAGCTTCAACATTAGTGGAGCCCTCCTTGCTTGAGAAGCCTTGCTGAATGATTGTGCAGGTAACGTTGAATCGATATGTGGGTTTAGAAGGGTCGGGTTTGCTGTCCTCTTCCTTATCCGTCTCCTCTGAGGAAATAGATGATATGAGTGATCGAAGGACTTGGTTCTATATCCAGTGTTAGCCAGCTGGGGTATTGAGTAGCGCATAAACTAGATAGAACGAACTATTATCTGTGCACTCCATTCGGAGACCTTTTCATGTTCATACTGCTCGACACCCTCCAGTGTGGAATCGCATGCCTGAGTGCGTTAGTAACTTGTAGCGGGGCGAAGGAGATCCGGGTTGGGGAGTGGGAGGTTTGAATACCTCAGCAGCGATCTTGGAAAGCTGTTCCACAGGAATTGGCTATAAGTCATGGTAGCGAGCCGTCAGTAAGGGGCCCGCGGATGCTTAGCAGGACACAGGGGTAACCATACCGAGCTAGAGTGCGGTTCAACTGCCATGGCTCCGGCGGTCCTGCGCGACACTAAAATGAGGGTATTCGACTATACGGGTGAAGACAATTGACCGCCGCAGCGATACGCAACTTGTATCTCTCTCGATCACTCGTAAAACTAGCGACTTTTCTCCTCGTCGTCTTGTTTACTTGTGAGAATAACAATGGATTATGTAACTGCCCGTGCGTGTATAATTAGCTTTGAGTTATGTAATACTATATCTGATTAGTAAGCATGGATCATGTGACTGTTACTTATTTGCCACGTGATGGATTCTTGTCCCGAAGTGGCAAGAAGCAAAAGAAGCTTTTCGAGAGAGTCGAAGAAGCCGAAGAAAAAAACCATCGACGAAGCGAGATTCAGCTGGCGTTTTGACTGTCTTTACCCATCTACAGCCGAGTGTTCGACAGATACGTCTGACCGCGTGGAACTCGCTACCCTTCAATAATTGTCCCTTGCCACCAGTCACTATGTCAAGCCAGCCCCTCCTACAGTCCGCTCCAGGTAAGCTGCCGATTGGACCCTTGCAACCAGTAGCAATAGCTTCTACGGAAGCACAGCCCAGCAGAGCACAAAAGAATGGATAAAAGTTTGAAAGCTAACCACTGAGATGAACGATGATGATAAACACAGGCAAGAGAATTGCGCTGCCAACTCGCGTCGAGCCAAAGGTCTTCTTCGCCAACGAGCGAACGTTCCTCTCATGGCTCAACTTCACGATCATCCTCGGCGGCCTGGCTATTGGCCTGCTTAACTTTGGCGACCGCGTAGGCCAAATCAGTGCCGCGCTGTTCACATTCGTGGCAATGGCTTCGATGATATATGCGCTGGTGACGTTTCACTGGCGAGCGCAGAGTATTAGGAGACGCGGGCAGAGCGGTTTCGACGACCGGTTCGGGCCGACGGTGCTGGCTGTTGCGCTGCTGGCCGCTGTTGTTGTCAATTTCGTCCTCAGGTTCAAGCAGGGTGGTGCTAAGTAGATGCATTCATTTGAGGTGAAGTGAAATCGACGCACTGGTTTTGGAATACTTCGGACCTTGGTTTGTCTGGTTGGATATGTCTGTCTATGCTGGTGATTTAGGTGATTGGGTGTCTATACGTGTACCTGTACTTGATGACTTTTTGTTCTGTTCTGCTTTAGCTTGCGATGTGCGTTCCCAGCGGTATAAAGATTCATATATGATACAGCTGAACGGGCGAGCAGCTGTCGCCCATCGTGACGGTGTCTTTATCAATTCTCAGTTTTGGCAGCCTTGCATTGATATGTACGAGGCCTTGCACGTCCGCTTGCCTTCCGATTGGCTAGGGAAGCGCCATAATGAAGATATTATATCATCCTGCATAAAGCCATTCTCTCCATCCATTCCATTTCATGTGTATTGTTAGGTTTTTGTTAAACATATCTCTCTTGACTGATATTATGCCTTTAGCTGTATTACTAGGCGTAGCAACCAGTATTATATGCAGTACTAACCAACTTATAAATTTACCGAAGTACTCCCTCCTGTGTAGCAAGCAAAGCTGTTACTTAAGGGTGGGTTTATTATATTTATAGTTCTGGCTATACCGAAACCCCCAGCAGTACACATAGTACTCTGTATATGGTGTCCAGTTTCATATAGCATTCCAACATAAAGACGTCCAGGCAGCGCATGTAGTGAACTCTGGAGCAGTCAACCCCGAATATCCCCTTTCCATGTAACATCTCAGCCAGTTTACACAGATACATCCTGTAATCAAGGACCATCTGTTGATATATATATGCCGTATAAATTGGAAGGCTATCAGCTAAACAACATCATGTAAAACCTTTAGTGTAAGCATATACCAGGTACCGTCTCACTCTATCTTCTCCTGTTAAGTGTTAATATCTTCTGTTTTTTTTTTTTTCTCTTTCTTCAAGCCGAAGAAAAAATAAAAACAAAAGCAAAAGCTAGAGCCATGCTTAGTCATCATCCCCCTTGCTGTGTTATCCATTACTTTAATTCAACTTCTTCGCTCGGCTTCTATGATGACTTCACCACTCGGAGTCTCTACCTCTACCGTCCTGCCTCTGTATCTCCCTCGCTGCTGGCACGATTGAGACAATCGCACATCCCCCATCTCGCCTCGCTATCGCCGCGCCGGGGTGGCCGCTGCGCTGCAAGTCGTTAGTTCGTCAGCTAGCTTGCATCTATCTCCCCCTGGCCAAGCCAAACGTCACCAGCCAGCCCGACCGTCCGAGAGACCCAAGACAACGCAACCTCGAACCTCAAAACCGCCAACTTGCGCGCCCTTCGAGACCACGGCCAGCGCTTCCTGACAGCGCTTCTCACGGTCCTCTGCCCGGCGACTTGACACCGCCTGCAGCGATCTCTCGTCTCTGGTCGGCCTTGAAGTGTCTGGACACGTCGCCGCCGAGGCAGCGACGCTCAGGTCGTACCTGAAACAGCCCGTTTTTCCGCGCGGCACCGGTTTCTTTCCACCTCTCTACAGCTCGGTCGTCCTGGTGAAGACAGACTTTGCGGTGCCTAAGAGGAAGAGGCTCGCAAGAGACGCCTGGGCGCTATAAAGACGCCGTTCCTGATTGCCCTGGTGGCCCCTACGAGCCAGCCTGCATGTGGCACCCTAGACGTTGATACATTTATTACGTACCGGGGAATTCGACGATACACAGCTGTCTCTTCTCTGCAAGGCGCTTTCATATGGCATGTTCCGTCTGCTACCCTGGTCTTCTATTGCTAGGGTTAAACAGGTAACGGGCACTGCGCAGGAGCACCCAGTCAAGGAGATGGCCGTACGAGAACAGAACCCGTCATCATCACAGCTGCAGTCGCAGTCGCAGTCGCAGACACTGAAGCGGAAAAGGTCCGATTCTGCTGGATCAGAAGTGATTTCGCAGGATGCCGCTGGCTACTCTAAGATAGCTGCTCTACATAGACCAACAGTGTCTGCAGATAACGACAGCATAGCCCAGTCAAGAGACGTTGCGGAGCCCAGGATAGGCCCGGACCGCGACCCAGTTACCAAACCGACAAGCAAAGCCAATATACCCAAGCTACATGACCTTCGGCAGCCCATAGCAGCGCGGACCATGGATACCGAAGAGCTGCGTCAGACCCTGGAATCACAGTTCAGCCTTGAAGTTTTGCTCAAGCACGATGAACTACGCATGATAGAGCAGGAGATGGCCAAGTGCCAGGTTGCGCTCGAGCAGCTGCGTCGTTGCGGTGAGATTCCATACCCTGGATCTGGCCTGACGGGACCTCTGGCGGCCGTTAGCAACGGCTCTGGACCAGCCGTCATGCCTCCGCGCAGCAGCCCCCGTCCTCCAGCATCTCCTTCTCCCTGGGGTACCAATGATGGAGCGTATACCCGGCATTACGCACGGTGGCTTCTTCCGGATCCGCGATTCGATGGTGGAGAGGTCGAGACAGTGCCGCTGCCTTCTAGGGCCGGCAAGAGTCCCGTGGTAGATGGACGAACGACTCGTGCATCATGGGCTGATGCAACCACGGCTTCTTCACGCTCTCATCGTGGCACTGCTGGTGCGAAACTACAAGCCCTTTCAAGTGGATACCCTCCTCCGAAAGACAAGGCCGGCCCGATGATCATTAAACGCAAGACGGACGGGCAATTTGTGAAGCTGGTCTGTCTTGACTGCAGGCGTGATAACTTCTCCAGCACACAAGGATTTATCAATCACTGCCGGATAGCGCATAACCGCAGCTTTGCCAGTCACGATGCCGCAGCAGCAGCCTCCGGTGAGCCTGTTGAGGTGGATGAGGCGGGTACTGTTGTAGGTGGGCAGAGTGAACCGCCTGCTGCTGGTCCCGCTGGCTATGTCCATCCGTTGATTCGGTCTGCTCTCCTCACTGACCCTGCGAAAGGGGCAAAGCACAGTAATCAGCAGGCCAAGGCCAGCACTAACCCTCCTATCCAATCCGTTACTCCTTCGCCTCAACTACAACCCAAATCAAGCACTCCAAGAGGAGGTCCTAAAAAGCCCGATGTCTCCCCCGCTTCTACTTTCAAGGCATCGCCTCAGACACCTCACTTATCGTCCCTCATGCTCTGGAAGGGTATCGATATTGACCTATCACACGTTGTGAACGATGCCCTTACCAAACCAGACGTCGACATGTTCCTCTCAGATGAAAACTCAGACAGCGAGGTAGATGAAAATACTTCACACGGACATACAAGTTCTCAGCTAAGCATTCGGAATAACAGACTGCCTGGCCGCACCGTTTATGCATCCTCCCAGCCTCAACGACCTGGCAGCCGCAAGGGAATGGACAAACGAGGCGCTCCCACACGTCGCTCACCTGGACTGTTGCACACATCAACATCGCCAACTCTTTACTCCTCAGGAATGGCAGCGGGGCGGCATCCGGAACCCGATGGAGACATGGATATGACAGGCTCCAATTCACCCAACCTCAGCCCTAACACAGTCGAGTCAAACCAGGCCCCTAGCCTCGTAAGCGACGATGGAGAATACGAAGCTCCCTCCGAATCTGAGAGTCCCAGCCCCAGCTCCTCTGGTTCTGAGGACGAAGGAAATACATTCGATGATGTCAAGGTTCAGGACGGAGATGATCCAAGTGCCGATTCGAATGCTTCAAATTCAACAACGGGGCATATCTCGGGCCCGGCGAAGCATCATGCCAGACCACCAATACCTACTACACCAACAAGACGACATACCGTCGGCAGGAAAGACGAGTTGAAAACCAAGAATGCAAAGAGGCATCGATAAAAATGCCTCCAAACCGAACTTAGCATGTATAAATATATGCTGGATAACAACCTTTTTGCTCCATTTCATTTTATTATTTCTATTTAGAGTGTTTGACCAAGCATTGCATGCTTCCCTTATGACTACCTTAACGACCTTGTCTATTGCTTTCCCTGTTTGCCTGCTCATCTCCCCTGATTTCAATTCGGAATAGCGGAACACTTGAAACTCCTTTAATTTGGGCGCGTCTATGGTGTTGGCTGTTCTCTACCCCTTTCTGCCTTCACCCCTATACAAATTCTTAATATTCCTAACTTTCTTGTGAGACCGATAGCTCTACTCACTATATTACTTCCCCTCCTCCTTTATTTTATGTGGATATATTATATACAGAAGAGATTGTCTTATGCTTACCATCAACTCCCACCCCTCTTTGATCTCCTGTAGATGTTTATAATGAAGCTAGGGGGGAACAGCCAAATTCCACTCACGTGATGATAGCTCGAAAAGTGACGTTTTGATAAGACGAAGAAGATGCCAAAGACACGAACAAGCAAATATAACAAGATACTAGCCTGAGCAACCCATGTAATGGGATATTGATGCCGATATTGATGATATACGATGACATCGCGCCTCGTCCTGGTCATAGGTGACCTCTTCATTCCCGACAGAGCACCAGTAAGCAGCTCTATTGAAGCCTGGCGCAACTACGTACGACAATAACAATACTAATATGTCCTAATCCTTCTGCTGCCCGCAGGATATCCCAGCAAAGGTATGTCAATTCATCCCGTCTCTGTCTCTATAGCTGTTTTCCACTGACTAACATCTTGTATAGTTCAAGAAACTCCTCACACCCGGCAAGATCGGCCAGATCTTATGTCTAGGCAACCTCACAGATCGCGACACATATGAATTTCTCCGCCAAATAGCACCGGACCTGCAGGTCGTCAAGGGCGACTTTGACGTCGATGCTCCGAATCTTCCTCTAGCTAAGGTCGTCACGCACGGTAGCCTACGGATAGGTTTCACGCATGGCCACACGATTATCCCGCAGGGCGATTCGGAAGCGCTGCTGATCGCAGCTAGACAGATGGATGTTGATATCTTGCTGTGGGGAGGCACGCACAAATTCGAGGCGTATGAGATGGAGGGAAGGTACTTTGTTAACCCTGGCAGTGCAACGGGGGCGTTTACTACATCTGGGGTGTCGAAAGGGGAGGAGCCAACTCCGAGTTTCTGTTTGATGGATGTAAGTGTTTGCCTACCGCTGATCTTCGTAGTGTATGCGATTGCTTACAGTTTGGTGTAGGTGCAAGGCGATGTTCTTGTGCTGTATGTCTATCAGATACGGGTGGACGAGCAAGGGGCCGAGAATGTGGTGGTAGAAAAGGTGTCTTTCCGGAAACAAATCTCCCAATCTGCGTAACACTCATTCCATTAAATGATATCCTTGAGGTTGCCGTGTGAGGACCGACACTTGAGCGTTCAAATAATAGACATTTGGCGAACAAATCATAATAATATACAAATATATAAGTCAACCAACCTGCCAATCCTGCAGCAGTGTCAAGTCAGGAGACATCTAAAGTCAATTACCATAAAATTACAAGCCCAACACGCCATGAAGCAGAACCAACGAGCAAGTACAAATGCAAAAAAATGGCCGCTCAGCTTCGACGGTCTTTCTTCTCGTTGAATAACCTTTCCACTTCCTTCTCCAGCGCGGCTTGTCCGTCAGGTCTAAACCTAGTCACCTTCTCCACGTTCTTCGCTGTGATTTCATTCATTTCTTCTTCTCCCGAAGCTCGCTGGTGAGCAAGTGTTCTGGCAGTCATGGCAAACCGCATATCTCGCTTGCCATCCACCAGCTCGAGAATGGCGGAGGGAGCTTGGTCTGATTTCTTGGGCTCAATGCGCAGTACTCGGGTGTAGCCACCTGGTCGATCCATATATCGTTCTCGAAGAGGGCCAAAGAGTTTTGGTAGCATCTTATGTGGTGCCTATCCGACGTTAGTTTTCTTGTCCAGGGCTAAGGTGTTGAAATATCGTTCTTCAGCTTCCGACTTGATGGACGTACAAAGAAATAAGTCATCGCCCTGTTCCGGCTGGCCTCTGTATTCTTCTTTCCAAGCGTAATCAGCTTCTCCGCCAGCCGCTGAGCCTCTTTTGCCTTGGGCCATGTCGTTGTTATCGACTCATGTGTGAAGAGAGACGTGACTAGATTTCGAAGCAGGGCCCGTCGGTGTGAGGACTTGCGCCCCAAATGTCGATATTTCATTGCACCACCAGCCATTGTGAAGGGTGTGTATCGTTAGAAGTAAGACTGATGACGTTGGCAGCTTAATTGGTGGTGATAAAGTCGATTTGGTTGCTTCCTTGAAGATTTGATGAAGCTTGGATCGAACAAAAAAATTGTCAGCAGAGGAAAAAGTCTTGGCAGATTTTTTGTTGTTCAACGGCCAAACGAATATCTCGGAGAACCAAAAGAACATCCACGGACGACGAGATCAATTAAAGAAGAAAATGGTCTGAAGAGCATGCGGGTGGTTCTACCACTTGATTGCTGACATCGCAAGAATGGGTTTTATTGCTGGCTTCGTACGTTCTACTGCCATCACCCATGGATTTACTGCCTGTACTAACCGCATCACAGGCTGGCGGGCTTGCTCTCACCTACTCTATCATCCAGCTGACGGTGCTGAAACAGCTTTCCGACAGACAGCAGCAGCAGGCTCTTCTTCGGGAACAGATTGATTCTCTGAACAACATGTCTATGCCGGCTACTGCTACACACAGCGTGCGCGATGAGGTGGACTATGCTGCAGCACTGGCACGACGAGGCTACGCACCACCTGAGGGGCCAACGATGGTTGATACATGGAAAATGAGATGGAATGAAGAGGTGAAGTCGATGGCGCGGAGCATCCATGAATTCAGCTGGGAGGACATAAGGGAGGCGTTCAGAAAGGCGCGTGGAGGGTAATTATACCTCCTTGAGTGTATTTTATATGTATACTACCTGCGACCCATGATATCCGGCTATGACAAAGTCTCTACCTGGTGAATGTAGAGGAGGATATAGTATGTCAGTCATCTGCATCAGCAGATACTTTCTGCCCAGCTGTCGAACCAACGGGGGACTGTCTACTCCCGCTGTCAGCCCAAATCTCCTTACTTTTGCTCGCAACCTCACGCATCGTCTCTGCCACATCTTCCAGCTTCGCAACGACGTCCAGTACACCATTGCTCACTCGCTCAAAGTACCTGTCATTGGCTTCTCTCCGTTTTCGAGCGTGCGTGATATCCTTCTCGGTCTTCTCGTCCAGCACTTCCCGCGGTTTGTTTTGTTCTATCTCCATCACAGCTGTGTTCCCACTCGACGAGTTATTGTTGTTATTGCTGCTGTTATTAGGCACTTCCTCGCCCTCTGTTCTGCCCCATGCCTGAGCCAGCGCGAGCTGCTTGGCTCGTAGACTCTCCACGACTTCCGGGTGATATGAGCCAAACATCCGGCTGCCTCCGGTAGCTGCAAGCTCTACCTCGGCGAGAGCACTCTGCATCTGGTCCCAGAGGGCGTCTGCCCCTTCTGCCGGCCGTGGAGGTGCTGCATCCTGCTGGGTGCGCGGGTGGGTCAGGTTCAGGTCTCGGACGCTCTGGATATCATGAATATCGTGTATATCGTGGAGGTCTCGGATGCTCTTCAGAATGGAGGCGTGCGTTGAAGATGTCTGGGGTGCTGTGCCTGCAGCTGTTCCTGGTCCCGTCCTGGCGTTGGCGAGAGACGCCCTAGAAGTGTTCTGAGACGGCGTCTGGATGACTATCCTCCTCCCTTGCCTAGAAGAGCCACTCTGCGACATCTTCCAAAGCTATCTCATCCCTTCACCCGTTTGCTTTTATCTTCATCTTGTCTTTCTTTCTGTCCTTCCGCCGCCTTCGTCGTCTTCTTTCTCTCTTCCTTTCTTCCGCTTTTGCTTTGCTTGTAGTCCAGACTTGCTTATGTCAATGCTTATTAAGTTATGACTCACCCGTTAGTCACTAGGTTCATATTACTAATGTATTACTAATCTAATTCGCTTACCAAACGCACTTTTAGCGAACACCAAAAAAAAAACCACCAAAACTTCATTGTCGGCGGAGAAAAAAGACGTTTCGACACCAACGACACTCGACATTGCAACGAAGCTACAGACAACAGCTCGTTGGTCTTTTCCTCCCCGACAACTTCCTATCGTATGTGGAAAATTTGAAGCCCTGATATCAAGCAGATCGATTCCCCGACTTACAATTTACGCCGTGCAGCGAACTATAGATACGTTAATACGTCGAGATGGGAAAAGGCAAGCCGCGTGGTCTTAACGCCGCCCGCAAGCTGCGAAACCATCGCCGCGAGGGTCGTTGGGCCGATTTGCACTACAAGAAGCGTCTCCTAGGAACCGCCTTCAAGTCCTCTCCCTTCGGTGGATCGTCACACGCCAAAGGAATCGTCATAGAAAAAGTTGGTGTCGAGGCCAAGCAGCCCAACTCTGCTATTCGAAAGTGTGTCAAGGTTCAGCTTGTCAAGAACGGAAAGAAAGTCACTGCTTTCGGTACGTCGATCTTTATTCAATTGTTAGGCGTTGTCCGGACCATGTTTCGCGAGGGGGGAGGGGTGCGCGGATGATCAAAAGTGGCGTGGTATTATATTGAGCGAGAGCATGGCTAATTAATGACATTCTAGTTCCCAATGACGGCTGCTTGAACTTCGTTGACGAGAACGACGAGGTGCTGCTTGCTGGTTTCGGTCGTAAGGGCAAGGCCAAGGGTGATATCCCCGGTGTGCGATTCAAGGTCGTCAAGGTCTCCGGTGTTGGTCTGTCTGCTCTGTGGAAGGAGAAGAAGGAGAAGCCACGATCTTAGACGGGTTTCTTAATTTCGTGGTTGCGGGCGAGATGGCGTGGCTGTTTACGAGAGGATACACAGCCTGGTTTGGGTCGATGGCTATGGCTACGGCTATGGATCCGGAACAATACAGAAGGGGCTGCTAATTGCTACGAATTCTACGGTTATGTGAAGGATGAAACTCCCCTGCTGGGCATACGATACAATTGCTTTTGACAGAGACCGAGATTTCTTGATCACAGTAAATGTGGAATCCTTGTGCATTCGCTCGATTTAAATCAGTAGCTCAAGTGCAAGTTAACAAAAATTCCATTTTTCTCTTCAACGTCGGTCCCGTTGCTCATGCCTCATGTTCGTCTCTTAATCTCGCGGGGGAATAACTCAACCATTAAAAAGTGATGTCCTCTGTCCGGTAGTGGTCTGATACAATGCGGTACAAATATGATGGAGCGTGCGCACCCCTGAACATCAAAGTTAGCCAATAATCACAACTAAAGGGTTACAAGCGATACTCACACGTTGGTGATGTAGAGATCAACAAGTTCGGGCGGCACATAGTCGTAGAGCGGGTTCATCACGTCCACCTTCTCCGCCACATCGCTATGCATATAATCTGCAACCGCGCTGGCGTCTCCATACCCGATAAGGGCCTCATAGTCGAACGGGTAGACAGGACTGAGCTTGTATATTCCACTCACTACCACTACAGGCGTCTTGTGTACCTTGGCAGCGCTGGCAACGACTCGAGATCCAGCTGCGGCTACAAGGCCGCCATTCGCGAGCACAGAGTGAGTGCCCAGGATGACCTTGTTCACTCGTGACATGAGTGCAAACACGGCCGAGTCAGGGATGAGTATGACTGTGATGCCCAGTGCAATCAGAGGCTTTTGGAATGAGTCCGTTGCAAGGCCTTCTTCGTCGCCCGTCAGGGTTCCAGTGACTGCAGCATGACTGTCCTTGTGGCTGTTGGGATAAGATTCCACGTGTATGACAGTAAACTTGCGGCGAGCAGCTGCCTTGAGAAGGAATTTCTGAACCGAGACAGATGATTCATATGTGAGGATTATTTCATTTGAGTGAATGTGTTCGAGTGCATAGGCTGCGATCTGGTCGTCAACTTGGTGCAATTCATCCACGATCTCAGTTATGCCGTCGAGGACTTCAGCTTTAAAGTCCTTTATGTCGCTGGCCTCTGCATCATCTCCCTCAGAGGGTTGCTCCGGTTCTGGTTCTGATACGACGGGGGATGATTCAGGCTGGGCGGTCTCTTCTGGCTCGGGTTCAGAAAGGAGATTGAACATGGATATCACTGGTGTGCTCATCACTCCAGAAAAGGACGGATGTGTCATGAGCGCTGGCCGGGATAAGTACCGTCCATTCGCATCAAAGGGGGACAACCCCTTTATTTCCTGGTTATTACCTCCTCGTCTCCGGGAGTGTGGCGTATGCCGTGAGCGTGTACCCGCATGTCCACGGCTCGACTGAGTTAGAGATTTGTGTTGTTGCTGCTGCTGCGACCCCTTCTGTGAGGTGAGCTCCTTGAACCGGCTATCCTCTGACTCGTCTCTGATTAAACCAAGTACTCGACGGACGATATTTCCTACGACCATCTCTCTGGGCTGAGCAGCTACAATGAGTCTCCCAACCTGCTGGACTCGCTCTATCAGCTGCTCCGGCGAAGATACGCGGTGTGTAGAGACGACCCGCATGAGCAGGTAGACTGTAACAACGGCACATGAGTGTGACTGGCGTATTTGTCTTCGTTTAAGCAGGCTATATACCATCGTCAGTCAAGGTGCCATTTTTGAACCGAGAGTGATATGTACGGACGATATGAGTGTTTCTATAGACGATTCGATCGAGTTGATCTTGAGATTGCGCAGGAAGGTCGACAGCCCCGGAGACAGGGACACTGCTGTAGATGTCATCCTATATGTGTATATAACTGTAGTACAGTCTCTATCGGACTGGTTTATTTGGCGAACTTCGTAGTTGTTGCGGTAGCGATCTAGGGATGCCGTCAGTAAGTGATGACTCAAGGTACACACCTCTTCGCCGCGCTCAAGAGCCAATTCTGCGTTCCCGCGCCAGCAACTCACCTGTTCGACCAGCCTGTTACCTGCGGCGGACGATATTATGTGTAGGATTGAAGTCTCAGCACCGCGAGTCTTAAGAATCTGCTTTGCCCGCAGGAAGAAAAATAATAAAAAGCGAGAGAGAAAGCTGATTTCCTATCTGGGACTTGGCAGGCTTTTTATCATCACGTGAAGTGGGATTTCCAATGGTTCCAATATATTCACAATAAAAATATCATCATGCAAAGGAGGACATTCATTCATTGAATGATGGCATTGGTTAGTAGAGAAAGCATAGAGGAGTAAAAAAGAGGATGAGATTCGCTTGCTTGACTGTTTAGTCTAGAAACTGTCTGGCAGATGGGAGACGTCCACTTCATGGGGATAGCACGTTAAATAGATATCACGAAAAGAACCAGGAGAAGAGAAAGAGACCAAATAGAAGAAGTAGAAGAGAAAATGATCCATATCCCAGTCAGATAGATGCCTCAGTTCAAGCCCCAAATGACACGCTAACTCCTGGCTGGCAACGCAGGAAGCAAACCAAAGAACTTCCACCAGCAAGGCGGCCAGCCATGTGTTCCCCCCTTTTTTTAATGCTTGCTTGTCCATATTTGTTGATGTTTTTTTTTCC